ACCAGCTAGACTAGTAGATGTGTGGGTTATGCAAAAAGAAAATCTACTTGTGTACAGCTTGGTTGCATCTTTCTCTATGGTCCTTCTTGTTAGGGCGGAAGCCTGTGTTCCAGCTTATAATTCCATGTGGAGGGCTTACTTAGTAAAACATCCCTTCTTCCCACGCCCTACTCACCCCTCCTAGAGTCAGTGCAAAGTGGTGATGCCAGTGACTAAGGTAAGGAAAGCCTCCACCCTTAGCCTAGGATTCAAGGTTCAAGAGAAAGAGGCACACCATGGTTAAGCAGGTACTCAGGACTTATTCAACATACAATTGATTTGGAGTTTAAGGCAATAAGAATATTTCAAGACTCCCTGGCTGATAGCCCAAAATGTTTAATGTACTCGGAGCCTTGATTCCTGACAAGGAAAAACGGGCTTAGAATCAGGGTTGGTGTACACACTACAAGGCTAGACAGGGCAGGAGAGATGAAGGGAATTTGAGCCAGACCCAGTGTTTGAACATCCAAAATTGGACTGTTGTACATCACTTATTCTCACTCTTACGCCAGAGTGGCAGTGGGATTTGCATTGTCTGGGAGTAAGGAGGCTCCTCTGCTACTTTACAACCTGAGCTTTTTTTACTTTTTGGTTTTGGACAAGTCACTACAGATTCCTAAGCTTCATCTTTTCCAGAAGAAGTGATCAGCACAGGCAGGCAGTGCATATGCAGGACCTTCTTCACCAGTGAAAGGTCCTTGGAAATAATTAGAATTCTTCGTATTGAAAGTAGAAAAAAAAGAAGTATGATGTGACATAAGCAACAAGGTGTGTTGGCTCATGGAACTGGAAAACCCATGTGATGAATCTGGCTGCAGAGACCATCTGAATGTTTATCTGAGCCAGCTTTTGGATCTACTTCCTCTGATTGGCTTCATTCTCAGGCTCTGTCTCAGAGTCCCTAGCATGGTAGACTCTGCATTGTCAAGTAGAAGTTGTACAGGTTAGACTACATTGCCATTGTCATCACATGCTGTCTGGTGGATGAGACTGAATCAAGGTTCACTCCTGAAGCAATCGCCAGTGTAATGTGTTGTGCTTACTCATATATTCTACCATTAGGACTGGAGCCACTCCACAAATAAAAATCAGAGGTGTTGCCTGAAGAAGGAGAAGGACTGTATAGAGCAGCAATCTCCAAAGGAAACATAAGGTCAGCCACATATGTAATTTTAAATTACCTGATAGACACATTTTTAAAAGTTAAAATGAACAAGTAAAATTAATTCAATATATTCTATTTAACTTTTCCTTTTATTTTCCACAGACATTATGGTGGGTTATGTTTAATGTAATATGTCTAAAATGTTATTTTCAACATGTGATCAATATAAAAAATATTAGAAGAGTATTCTACATTTTTCACACTATGTCTCTGAAATTCAGCTTGCATTTTACACTTACAGAATACCTCAATTTCAACATATTTTAAGGGTTCCATAGACACATGTTGCTAACGTATGAGGTAGCACAAGATTAGGACAAAAAATAACCACAGCTCTATTTCTTCATACCTACTACCACATTGGATGCTTACAACCCAGTAGTTAGGATGAACCAGTGTTTCACAAGTTGAATGACTAGCTTAAGAAACAGAGGGATCAAAACTCTGAACTAGATATCTTGAATTCAAATATAAGTTTTAAGGCCAATGAGGAATACACTATATGTTCTATGAAAAGAGGTTGGAGTAGACTTTTTAGATTTTTATTGAAGTAACAGAAGCTCCTTTCATCAGGCCAAGTAGCCAGCTTGTAACCCAAACCCTGTTCATTCCACCCAACTTACACCAGGATGTCACTCATTAGTTTCTATAGGGCCAAGTCTCAGGGCCCTTTGGCTACCCCGTCCTGAATTTGTCCTCCAGTTTTAATAAGTGAACTCTCTATAGCACAGACTCTTCCTTAACCCCAGTTAGGGTCTTTACAGTCTCCATTTGTTTTTTGTGCAAGTCTCTGTCTGGGTAATTGGTAATCTGTCTAATAAACATCTCCTTCTAGAACTCATTCTTCATTTCCTTCTCTTGCTTACCCTTTTTCTGGCCCCTGGATTCTTGCTTTTCTAACATGGAAGGAAACTTACAAGGAATGTAGCTTACAAGGAAACGCTACAGATTTTTTCTGCCTTAAGGGAACAATCTTACCCTTCATGGATATCCCATCAAAAGAATTCTACATTCCTATTATCCAGTAGGTAATGGGTTATTTGTGCAGGATTTTCTTGCTAACCACGCCTTCTCTGGAACCAATAACCAATGCCATCACATCCAGAGAGTGTGCCTACTCCTCTGGTCATGACTGGGCACCTCAACTGATATTGCCCTTCACCCACCCTGGCAATGAATGGGGTAATTTCTGTCCCATTAATCACAAATATATATGATACTAACTGTATTACTGTCAGCCATATTTTTTAGAGATGATATTCTGCATTTAAGGGACTCTTGGATTTTAGTGACTCTGGATTTAGGGGAAAAAGTAAGTGTAGGAGGACAACCACTTATTATTATTGTCACGATAAACAGTCTACATTTATGTTTAATTCAGCAGTCACTAAGCTTCTGAAATTGCAATAATTATCCATATTTTAAAGATGAGGAAACTGTGTATCCAAAAGTTCAGTAAAATTGCCAGAAATCACAGTCTAATAAAGTAATGGATGGGAGATCAAAACCTAGGCCGATACAGACTGCCCCCTTCTCCCTCTCTCTGTTTGCTCTGTGCTTGCCTCTTGACCACACAGTTCCTTTAAAAGAGCCAATTAAAACAAAACAAAATAACACTGAGGACTAAGAACTCAAGGCATTTGTACTGCCCAAGTTCCATCGTTCAATATTCTTTTGGGATGGAGAGGAAATAAAACCAAATAAAGAATTATGTGCCTTTTAAAAAATTCAACTGGCAAACTTTGAGTTTCATCTAAACAATTCATTTGGTGTTTATTGAGAATTATACTTCCCCTATCTATTTAATCATTCATGACCACAATGCTATAATACTTGATGGCCCCAAGCAGGATTTCTCTCCTTGGTTTTTATACTTCACATGAAATTCAAGCTCCCTTTTTATGTAGCAAAATAACAGAGCATCTGAACAAAAGTGCTGTAGGAACCAGGAATCCAAGTTTTTCTTCACTTTGAGACTCATTGTTTCCCTGCACATAGACTCACATACAATAGAATTCCAGATACTTTTAATAAATAGAATACTCCATTCTTTTGAAGAGGAATGATGTCTGTCTTGTGATCATCCCATCCTGCTATGGCATTCAACAAAACCAAATCATCTTCGTGAGGAAAGAGTTTGCTTCTAAGCTCCAGCATCATTATGATTCATGAATATGGGGGACACTATAAAGTCATCTGTAAATGTTCCTGGCACATGGCATGTACTGAATAAATGTTAGGCTGCCTCCTTCCTATTAACACTCTTAAGGCCACATACAATTGTCCATTTAGGGAGAAAATGACCTCTAAGTTTTGCTCACACATTCTCTAATGTCTATATTAATTACAACATCTTGAAGATACTTGTGTCTGTTTTTAAAGGGCATTCACAGTCAGCATGCCATTCTGACAAACATCCCTGAGAGGCAGGCAGTACCGATATAACATCTATCTTTACGCAAAAAGACAAAGGTGAAGAGGGGCTAAGAGATTTGTCAAAAGTAGATTTGTTCATCTGAATACAGAAGTTCAGTGAATTGGCCCACTTAATGCCCATCCCATGGCTCACCTGGTTTACGAAGGAAAGAAAGCTAAAAACTACATTTCCCAGAGGTGCTGGTTCAAATTTAGAATCCACCAATCAGAGACATTAACACCTAAGGGAAGTTTTGTTTGGAATTTACCCATGGGGAGAGTGGTAGGATATAAAAGGCACTCATTTGACCTGCAAGGATTGTACCCAAAGCAGCATAATTCTGAATCTTGCTAATAGGGTTGGGCTTTTTAATTCACAGTTTCATGACCTTGTAAAAGCAGAAACTCCCTGGAGAGTTCATTCTGCAGTGTGGCTTTGGAAGTCATTCCAGGAAGCTCAGACTAGAGCCTGATGTGCAGCCCTGCCAGTGATTAGAGGTATCCTTGTGTTTAATACAATTTCTTTCTGCTTAATCATCTAAAGGGAGTTCTGTTAGCTGCAACTGAGAACACTGACTGGAGCTTATGCTTAAATCAATGATCAAAATCAGATTTTATTGACTCCATGAAAAAATAAAATAATTTATATAACGGCAAAACTTAAAGAGATAGGATGGTATACATGGAAAGAAAAAAATAGGCCTTTGAGTTACTTATATCTGCATGCAAACCTCAACTCTGCTATCTGTGGACATGGATAAGGGTTACCAATATGGCCAGTAAGTGAAAATTTCCTGGAAGTTTTGTGAAAAAGGATTCATGAGGTTGATGCCAGGCAAGTTTTCAGGTCAAAGAGAAGATGTAGTTATTGTCATCAGGTAAGTGCAGGGTCTTAGTAGAAATAAAACTACACAAGTAACTTTCCATCACAAGTAACTTTCCATATGTCCTAGAAAACGCTTGTATAAAAATCAGGATAAAAGTAGGGGCCAAGCACCGTGGCTCACGCCTGTAATACCAGCACTTTGGGAGGCCGAGGTGGGCGGATCACCTGAGCTCAGGAGTTCGAGACCAGCCTGGCCAACGTGATGAAATCCTGTCTACTAAAAAAACAAAAATTAGTTGGGTGTGGTGGTGGGCACCTGTAATCCCAGCTACTCTGGAGGCTGAGGCAGAAGAATGGCTTGAACCCAGGAGACAGAGATTGCAGTAAGCCAAGACCACGCCATTGCACTCCAGCCTGCATGACAAGAGTGAGACTCTATCTCAAAAAAAAAAAACAAAACAAAAACAAAAAGTAGAAAGAGCTATGATGTTATGAATATCATAGAAAAAAAATAGGACTTCTGGGGCCTGAAAATATGACTGAGAGGCACTGTAC